GTCTATATTCGTTAAAACTATTAAAATAAACATTGTTATCCTTGTTTTAAACCAATTTAATGCTATAAAAAAAAAAATAAAAAAATCGAATTTTTGAAAAATTTGGTCGGCGGGTAATGCAAAACGAAAAATTAACTTTGCGCGGCCTTAATCGTGTAACCATATCGAATCTTCTATCGAACAGTCGCTCTTGTTAGTACAGTTGCATCGGTTCAATTATTCCTGCATGAACGAATATTACCATTGTGGCGTAAAGAATTCAAATATTATCAAATGCAAAAATAATAATGAACATCAACTCAAACATCATCTCTATTGCTTATTGTCGATACTATCTAATTGTTCAGACTTTTTATGCATATAGACAGTATATGCAGTCTGACGAATCAGATCTCTATGTCTAGATATTATATAAATTTGGTGAAAAGTGTAAATCTGCAATAACAGCCTTTTCTGAAATAGCTGCTTGCCTACGTAGAAGAGTTTGACATACGCACTGTTACACCCGAAACCACCTCTTATAAGTTCCGTTATAACGGTTTTACTGTAGCGACGGCTATATTAGAGATTCAATAACAATTTCCGATTTATGCTAAGTAAATAGAGGGTATGGCGCTGTTAAGAGGATTGTGTGATTTACTATTACGAAAGAGGCAAACAGCTAAATGTAGTCGTATAAACAAGTTTATTATTTATTCAATTCGATTCTCGAGTTATACGTGTGTGAAGGCACTATAACTGATCTACAATTTATTGGAGCGATCCGTGTATGAAGACACGATTACTCCTTTATTATTATTGTGGGGTTGTTGGAACTTCGAGTTCTGTTCTTTACATGAGAAATATCTAAGGCTATTTATACTTTTAGACTTTCGATCCTTGTTACTATTTTTATAAATTACATTTTCATTTGAACCACTAAATCTAAGAAGAACACTATCGCTACTAGCGCTACTTAGCGCTATTTAGCACTACTAGCGCTACCTAGCACTATTGCAGTATGCTTTTCATTAGTACAATCTCTACAAGAAACGTGGGGAACAAAATTTTTTTAAAATTTTTTTAGCCGTTCATTATGCAAATTTGTTATTTCCTATTTGAAAGTAACAAATTTACATAATAAACAGTTAACGAAACTTTAAACAAATTTAATCTGATATAATCAGATTCGCTGGCAAATTTTCTTAGAATTTTCATATCGATATAGGATGTTTACCCTAATCAGCCAATAAAAATTCAAATATTGACAACCGATCAGATGGATTTTTAAACATACTATGTATTGCTCTATATATGATCAAAATTATTTCGGTTTGAATCAAAACTATTATCGTTACGGCTTATGTAGTAAGTCTCGAATAAGCCGAAATAGTTTCGACCACATATATATTGCACACAGATTAAATTCGGTTTAATTTCAACCCGGTTTAGCTTAAATATCGGGGTTTGAATTTACAACTGATACTGGCCTCTACATCAAAAAGTAATTATATTGTTGCAATGTTAACTGCAAAACAATTCACATGATTGCCAATTATAAATTTATTTTCAAAAATTTAGCCACTTAATTCCAGGTATATTCATTCATATTTGAGCCAGCTTTATATTTCTTTCTAAATCATTCTTTTGCTCGATTAATACCATTAATTTTTTCCTGAAAATAAACTCATGTTATAAATATCTCTAATGTATGCTTGCAAAAAAATATTTACGCACCTATCATTCTCCTTAACTTTTTCAGGAACCTTTTTCAAATATTCAGTTTTGGTGATTCTTCCTTGCAAAATTTCAATTTCATTTATAATTTTCTCATATTTTTTAGTTAATCTTGACAAGTTTTCAGTTCTGAAAATACCGGATGGGCCATTGCTTGAAGCTTTTGATTTATCCTTGTCATTATTTGCATCAGTGCTTTTTTGAATTTCCAAAATTGAACTCATTGGAACGTAAACTTTTAGATTTGTAGAAATCAAAGTTACTGCCGAATCCGTTATCAGAGTCTCCAGAGATTCTTTCTACGAAATATAAAATTAAATTTATTATGTAGAATTAATTCACTGATAACAAAAATATTACTAAATGAATATAGAATATAAAGATTACTTGAAGCTTGTCATCAATTACTCGAATTTCAGAAGCTTTAATAAACTTTTTTATATCTTGAAAATATTTCTTAATTGATCCTTGTTCATCTAATAAATCTCGATCATCAGACCATATGATAAATGGTAACGGCTGTCCAGGTGGTATATTATTACTTTGACGAAGTGATCTTGCTGCATGGATTACACTCAAAACCATCTATCGTTATATATATCAATATATCATTGTTCAACATTCACGCCTAAATATGGTTTGCATTTATTTCAGTTATAGAAATCTTTACCTTCATATCATCTTCAACAGTAGGATCTTTCTGATTCACAAAATCTGC